TTAAGCTCGGATCATAAGAACTGGTTTTAGTTAACCTGTTAATTGTTTAAAATGTAGCTTAAAATTAAGACTAGGACTAATGCCTCCATAGACCATAAATTAAAGCATTATAGGTGATAAAATTATGCGCAACACCTATGTACTTCAGTTAAGAGACAAGGTTCAGAGCGTCAATTACGAGCCTCTACTTCCAAAGCAATTCCATGACGGTGTTGTATGCTTCAGTAGCCTTTCAAATGTCACAGGAACCACTTGCTTCCCTCTACATAGAAGAGGGGACTGAAGGTTTGCAGTATAAGGTTGAATAGCAAGCTTAAACATTTTCCCTAGAATTGAGAAACCGAAATTCAGAGCACCCGAGTGCCGGTAGTGATTAATTGAGTAGAATGCAACCTATGGGTAAATGGCAAGCTTGGTTTTGGCCAACGATAGTAAAGGATTATTTTTTGGTAGAAATAAGAGATTTTAAATTTAAATCACATGGCATGTATGTGGAAGGAGATTAAAAAACGAAAAATGATTGTTTTTTATTATGTAATTCAAAATTAAAAAAAAGGTAGAAAGCAAGCTTAGTTTTGAGCTCATTGTAAACAAGTTTGGGTTAAGCCTAAACAAACTCTTCGGCTTTGTTTGTTTGTTAACATGGGTTGTGAGTCACCTTTTCAATAAAAATAAAAAGTTTTAAATTTAAATTATATGATATATGGATAAAATAAAATTAAGAGATAAGAAATAATTGTCTTTTATTATATTATTTAGAATTTAAAAAGAAAAAATAACATGCTTAGTTTTGAGCTCAAGCCCAAACATGTTGGACATACCATAACTGTTAATTTAAGTCCCAGTCATGATTTTAAGTCTTCACAATAATGTTAAGATGTTTTGATCTTTTATTTTTATTTTTTAATTATAATTTAATTATTTAAAAAACTCATCAATTTCTTCCCTTAAAGCCAAAATACTGTTTTTTTTTTTTGAACAATATTGTCATGGAACGGGTTAAATCCATCCAAGCGGAAAGAGGAGGTGCACCTCAAGATGGCGAAGTGCTAGGTGCAAAACCCAAAAAAAACCAAAATACTGTTTGGTAGTCAAGTTCACTGGGGAAATTATTCTTGGAAGGTCAGGACAAATTTTGACTAGCTAGGCTCAACCATCCGGCACAAAAGAGAAAATGATTTACTTTGTTTTAACCAGTTATAATAAAAACTAATGATTACATTACTCAAAAAATTGTTTGCAAGATAAAAATCTCGAAAAGTGACCTTCAGCTGTGAATAAAATTGGGTAATGTAACAGATTATTATAAAATAAAAATAATTAATTACAAACAAGACTTTCATTTTTCTATGGTCAAACAAATTTTTTATAACTTGGAGAAAGTTTGTACTCAAAGAAGGCCAGGGATAAGTTTAAAAGACATAAAATCACAAAGGATGGTAAATTAAGAAAAAAAAAAAAGGAGAATAATTAAAAATAGGATAGTGCTATAGGGGCATTCTTTTTGTCCCACCTTTTTATACAATTTTCACACGTCATTAAATGGGTGAATGTATTTAATATCACGGGTCTCATATAGATTAAAAGAACCAATCATTTTAATGACACATCAAATTGTACAAAAAGGTGAGACAAAAAAAAAAATAATTAAAAATAAGTGGTGCTATAGGAACAATTTTTTTATCTTATATTTTTATACAACTTTCACACATCATTAAATGGGTAGATGCATTCAATATCATGAGTCTCATATAAATTAAAAGAATCAATTATTTTAATGACATATCAAATTATACAAAAAAAATAAGACAAAAAAATTATACAAAAAACATTTCCCTTAAAAATATAATTGCCATTTGCTACAATGGTTTCAAGCACAACAATTCTATATATATTTCCTTTCTGAACAAGGGAAATTTTAAGGGTGGAGAAGGTTTGAATATAAAACTTAAGATATTGTTATTTTGAAATTTATTTAAAAAAAATGTCACTTAACCACTTAGTATCAAACAAGTATAACATTTTTTTGTATATAATTGTGCCAACACTAAATAAGTAAATATACAAACTCTGGCGTAATTTAACGAAAATAAATAGTTAATTATAAAATGCTGCAAACTGTATATTTTATATGTAATTATTTATGAAAGAGACTCTTTTTCCCTTTAATGGAAAAGAGGCCCACTTTTTAATTATGGGGGTACTGTATTTTTTTTTACTAAACTTTTTGATATTTAAAAAGTATATTAGTTTTTGGTTAATTTAAAGTTAAAACATATCAAATTTGAAAATTTTGTAAGTGTTTAATTTTTTATTTATAAAATTTAAATTTAAAATTTTAATAAAAAATAATTAAATTTTTTCTACATGTCATTACTATTATACAATTTTTTTTTTTTTAATTAAACAAAGTATCCTAGATCCAAAACGTGCCATTCCAGTTTTATCCTTCCAACTTTCTTTCTCTGTAGCATACTAATACTCGCATTTGCAACAGAGGGCAGACCGGGAACGGCAAATTTAGAGAGACAAAACAAAAGCGGCTCCACTTGGACCGGCGTACCTGCAGTCTACGTCCCTCAAAATGGTGTTTTGTCATCTTTTGTTCTTTTGCACTTATTTATTTCTTGACTTTTCTATCCTTTTCTTTTTATTTGCTATCTTACCATAAACAAGGGTTGAAGAACATAACTGACCTGAAACTAAAATGTCTGAAAATTTTAGGTTCCCTTGGTTTAGTTCACATGTCTGAACTTGAGCTGCATTCCATAATGGAATTTTATTAGGTCATATCATCCATTATTTCCCAAAATTTTTGTCTTAAAACTTTCAGTATGATCAGATCTATTAAGTTTTCCAGTTGATTTGATGGGATCTCCTGGACATTTAATGGGTATATTTTATTATTTTATCTGCCAAAATGTTTTCCTTGAAACATATGTTATTATTAGTGGTTATTTTTATGGGGTGTAGATTTTAAGGGTTTTGATTGATCTTTGTGTTAGCCATTATGAATTCAGATTCTTGAGCTTGTTAGGTTTTGAAACAAATTTGTAATTTTTCTTCTGAAGAAATCTGTTTATATTGAGGAATTTATTTTGGGTTTTCTTTAGCAGGTTCATTAATGTAATACTAGAAAATTGATCAATATTAGATATCAGTAGGCAAATATAGAGGAGGCTGAACCATTAAGTGGAACCTTGCACAGATTGTTGTTGGCAATTGAACTGTTTTTTCTTCTATTACCTTTTTTTTTTTTTGGTACTCTGTGAGTTCACTACTTGGCATTGCAATTGTTTGACAAGGGTTTTTAGTTAGTAGGTGCCATTTGCGAGTTAGCTTCTGGGCAATGCAATTGTTTGACAAGGTTTTTTAGTTTGTAGGCTACCAACTTGGCTAAGCTTTTATTACCTTATGCATGTTAAGGATATTGAGATACATTAGGATGCTTTTTTGTGGATCATTCATCATGGATGAGTACAGTGAGAAAAAAAACTCTGAAATAATAGATTTTTATGGAAATGAATATTACTACATCACTCAGTTGTATGTCTTCTCCTTAGGCTCATTCATCTGTTGAAATTTTCACTGGTCTTCATTGTTTATGTGATGAAGCTATCTTGATAGAGATAATAGAATATTGAGATTAAGCTGTACTCTTTCTTGACATTCTGATGAGTGTTTCAATACATATTCGTGTTTCAATATATAATCTTTTACTACTCATGTTTGAATCTAATTTTATTTTTGGCCTAGAAAAGGTCTACTTCTATTTTGCATAATTTCCCCCATCTGGGTTTCTATAGTATTTGTGCCTTTGCTCTGC